TCAGTGGTGCCCAGTGACAGGACAAGAAGCAATGGGCACAAACTGGAACACGGGAGGTTCCCTCTGAACATCAGGAAACACTTTTAAAAAAAATTTTTATTGTGAGGGTGACTGAGCACTGGCACAGGTTTCCCAGAGAGGCTGTGGAGTCTTCCTCCTTGGAGATACTCAGAAGCTGTCCTGGGCGACCTGCTTGAGTGGGGAGGTTGGAGCATGTGAACTCCATGGGTCTGTCCCCACCTTAACCATTCTGTGATTTTGTAAACCTGATTGTTTTGGCTTTACCTCATTTTGCTGGGAAACAATTCAGGTGGTATCTCACAAGCATTTAGACATACTGATTGCAGCAGATTCAGAAGCATCTGAGTGGTTATTTTGTTCTTATTAAGCCTATGACACAGCTTTTGCATGCTGATGTTATCAACCTGAAAGAGCAGTTGGATTTGAAACTGAAGTTAAATGTGAGCTCAAGATCAGGTACTTGCATGAAAGCTTATGTGCTTAAAAATTGGGCCCCAAGTGAAATCCAAGCTGTCTGTGGGGATCCTGAGGTCTTGTCTATATGAAAGACTGTAATAATTTTAACTACTCTAAGTTTAGGGATGTATCTTTTTCCCTACATGATGAATGAGAGAGAAAGCAGTTCCGGACTCGATAGGAGTGCTGTAAGGGGAAGTGCATTTGTGCTTATGAGATGTTTAGCAGCTGTATCGTTGGAGGTTGTACAAGAAATGAAAGTGCTTTCTGGACTGACTTATTTCTTGAATTTAATTTCCTTTAGTAGAAAAGAAATGGTTTAAGAAGCAAAAATTGGAATTGGATTTTTTTAAAAGGAATTATGTAGAACTCAAGTACAGCTACCAAAAATCTTGCCGTCTTCCATTACCCAGAGTTGTCAGGACTGCTATTCTACTTTCCGTCCAGAGATTCAAGTAGGTTGTTAAATGAAAATGTCCCATGTCTACTTTTATCTTGGGGACAAATGGGAACTTTGCCAAGGTGAGCTGAAAGTAAAATTTGTGAGTAGCATCTGTTGTAAAAGAATGTATCAAAAGAACTGGTTTGTTTGGGTTTTTTTGCTCCCTAGGAAATTACTACCTCAACATGCAAATTAGATGTTGAAATTTTATTGGAGATAACGGAAATCAACATGCTGTGATGTTTGGGAGCCATGGTGGCAATATGGAAGAGCCCGAGTGAGAAAAGTTTAGCGGGTAATATTACTGTGGTTCATAATTATATGTTACAGATAATTGTAGGTGTTTTAAATGTGGAAACCACCAAGGTGGCTGTCATTTCTGATATAATGGGAAGGAAATGTTTGTGTTCATGAGGGTATCGTGAAAACAAAGTCCATGATGAATGCAACAGTGGCTTGCTAATGCTTACTGACAGCTGAAACCCCCATGGCTTTAGAGAACTGTTAAAAGATTATCAAGCACCCTGAGCCGGTGGAGAGGGGATGGGATCCTCCTTCCATGATCCATGGAGCTTGGCTCTACCCTTCCACTGAGACATGGAGACTGGGTCCTGTTACACGGGATCTGAGGATACTTGGTTTCTTGAAGGATTGAGGTCTATCCTCTTGGTTTTTTCTGCTCCAAATTAATCTGTGCTGGATAGCCAAAATTTCAAGTGATGAATGCAGTCCTTCAGAAAAGTTTTGTACCAAGACTGAGTTTATCTGGATTTCTTTTGTTGTTCTCTTGAGATTTTTTTTTTAACTGTGCTTTGTTCCCTCCAGCCAAATGAAGATCAGATTTTTTTCACAATCCAGTTGAAAATTTCTGTAATGAAACATTGATTTTTTTTTTTTTTTAAATATTTTTTTCTTTGTGCCAGGAGACTTCCTTGATGAATAGCTTGTATTCTGAATCCTTTAATTCTATATTCTAGTTCAGTTCTGGTATGCAGAAATGGACTACAGTCATATACATCTTGATCTCAATGAATTTTTATTTGATTAAGAAAATCATGCTGAAAGTGCCATTGTTACAATCAGATACAAACCAGTGAATCATCCAGATGCTTAAAGTGCCTTACTCCTCAGTGATTTCTGTAGTGGTTTTGATGTTATTTGGTGACTTTGTCATGGTAGTATCTCAAAATCTGTTAGGTAAAACCAAACAGTAGCAGACAGTTTCTTCACAGAACTGGCTGTCTTCAGCAGAGGAACCAAATCAAAATTGAGGTGAGAAGGCATATGTCATGAAATGGAGGGAACTGACCCACATATTGTAGGTGTTGCGTTAATCCTGTAACTTTTAGCATTTGTTCATTGAAGGTGGATTTTTGCAAGGGCACTAGATATCAGAAAAGGCAAAGAAGAAAAGGAAGGAAGAATGAGTGGGTCCTTCTGGTCTTAAATCTTAAGCTTTAGCTGTAGAACTATGGAAACGCAAGAACACATTGAATGGGACTTCACCAATCCAAGGGAAATATAGGTGACAGGCAGAACAAAAGTCAGAGAATCTTTAAAATCATGATAAGAAAAATCCTGAAAATAATTATCCAAAATGCCAAATACTTTCTTCTTCTGGTTTGTTTTCATTTGTTTGTTCTTTTTTCTAGTCTTTCCTGGCTTTGGGTAACTGCATTTGTGGTGCCTGACTAGAGGCATAAAGTTGTATAGCTTAAAAAAGTGCAGAGAAACCAGCTTCTAAAAGTCAGGCCCCTAAATGTCTCTTCAAAACAAATTATCTGCTGCCATAAGAGGGTATTTTTTTGTTGTGGCATTTTTGTTTGTTTGTTTCTGCACATGTACCCTCTGGCTTCTTGTGGAGTCACTGAATTCTCAGAATACATGAAAATCAGAATCTTCAGTTTTTAGTCTTGGAAGAGCAATCATCAGTACAGACATCTGGTTTGGAAATTCTGAGCGGAATTTTCTCAGTGTGAAATTTATGTTCAGTATGGGAGTGTCTGCATATGCAGGACCACAAAATGCATTAACTGTGTGTTGCCAGTGAAGTCTATCTGTTTTGGTTTGGATATTCCCATGCTTTAATAAACATCCATAGCAGAGAAACTCGGTTTCGGTTACAGATACCTGATTGACCAGGGTAGCTGAGCAAGGAGCTGTTTTCTTGCTGAGGAAAACTCTGAACACTCTTGAGATGCTCAAGGCAGTCCTTTGCCTTCTTGCCATTCTCTCTGTCTTACTCTTGTTCTCATGCTCTGTGGGCCTGTCTCTCATTTATAGGTTCTTCATAGATTTCCAAGTTTACTGCCTTCCTTCTGACTGCTCATAGATCTTAAGGCCTGTGATCAGAAAGTCTGGGATTCTACACAAGGCTGGAAAAGAGTAGTTTACTCAAGAATTTTTGTACTAAGAGTAGTGGTATTATATTTTGTTTTTCAGATCTAGCAGCTCCAGAGGTGAGGCAGATTATTTCCTCCTTTCACTCTTCTCTAGCATATGGACTCCTATCCAAAGACTGAATTTTGCAAATTGTCCCTTTCCCATCTGTCACTGGCATTTTTTGTGGTGCTTCCCATTTGCGTGCATTGAAATTTTGGAATTCCTGCTCTTCCAATCATTGACCAAATGCAGACTTTTATTCAATAAAAGTTCAGAGTAGTGTTCTTTCTGCCACTATTTTGATGACTATAGTGATAAGTTTTAGGAGATATATATATATATATGTATATATATTTGAATGAAGGGACTGCAAGGTGGTGTTTGGTAAGGAATAATTCAGTTTGCTGTTCCCTATCATTAATAAAAGGTTCCAGAAATCTGTAACAGTAAATGTAATGATCTGTATGCATTCTCTGTTAACTGCCAAATATCACTGGACACATTCCCAATACACACTCTACTCTTGTAATGAACACTGACTCCTTAATAACCAATTATTTTGAATGTTTCTAGTTTTGGTTGAGGGTTTTTTTAGCTATTAAAATGCTTTTAACTGATTTTTTTACTCTATTCTTGGCCAAGCTAAAGTCTCCTTCCTCCTGCCACCTTTCATTCATATTTCTGATTGGTTCAGCTATAGATGGAGTAAAAGTAGAAGAGAACACTGTGACCTAGTGGCATGTTTCCCCCAGAATAATGTAGAAGGATGCCTTCCCTGCTTGAGCTGCTCTTTTACTACTGGAAGGAGAGTGTTTTTGTGGACAGAGCCTTGGGATATTAGGTTTTTAGGTCTGGTATCATCTGGAGCCATGAATAAAACCATGAATAAACGAGGACACTATTCTGTTGGTAATGAGGGTCCTTTCTGCAATGGCTGTAGTGTTATGGATATGGTGGATTTGATCCCTGGTTTCCCACTGATTTGGGGGAGACCTTAATGTTAATATAAGGAATATATTTCACTACTACTTTCTAGTGTTGGGTTGCTGTAGATGTAAAGAAAACAGATACAGTTAGGCAGGTCTGGTTTACTAATTACAAATGAGTTTGAGTTTGATAATCCATTGGGACCATCTAAGCTGTCATGACTGTATCTGTTACTGTACCTATTCTAATGTGGTTTTCTCTTGCCGCCTTCAAATGGCAAGTTTCAAATGAAAGCCCCAGGCTCCAGCAAAACAAAGCTGTCTGATGAAAACAGCTCAGTGAGTGAGAATTCAGTAGTTTGTCTGTAAATCTATGAGCCAGATAGGATGGCACTTCTTTTAGAAGTGAAATTGAATTTAAATGGGAGCTACTGCCATGTCCTGGGGAAATTCAGCTTCATGTCTTAGAAACAGTGTATGTTTTGAGTGTTGGAACTGAACAGCCTGGTGAATTCAACAGGGAAGGATTTATCTTTTCAAGTTGCTGCATTAGCTGAAAGTGGTGGCAGCTTACCTTTAACAAGAACTTGTTTTAATCACTTTTGATAGGTGGAAGCGACAGGTGTAAGTTTTGTGACTCCCTGAGAATTCTGGCTGTTGAGACTGAAGTACATGCACTGACCAAAATGACCCCCCCTGTATTTTTTTTTCTTTAAGCCTGGAGCAGAGGTGAGCATTCCCTCTGGTTAACGTGAATCTCTCTGTACTTCCAGCTGGCCCGCGCCGATTCAGTGGTGCTCAGTGGCACATGCAGAACGTCCTCAAAGACTCTGTGGAGAGCTCCGATGATGAGTTCTTCGATGCGCGAGGTCAGTACACGTTTTTGTCTTCCCCTCCCCATCCTTTCCGCAGTTTTGCAGCATGTAACTAAGCTCCTGGAGGGATGAACTGACAATGTTGTCCTCATCAGACAGAGATCTGAAAAACCCCATCAGATAATCTCTCAAGGATTTGTGAATGGCCCTAAAGTTTGTGGGAGATGGGTGGAGTGCTGGGGTGGACGAGCAAGCTGCCGTGAGCTGGATCTAGCATCAGAGGCAGCGTGGCTGCGGCAGGACAGAGCTCCATGAGGCCTCTTAGGCCCAGCCTGCTCACAGGTCAGACGTGATGTTACAGTTGCAGTGCTCTTGTTACCGTTCCTGATGAAGGACACCAGTGTCTGTGTTAATGATGGCCAACTTGTAAAACCAGTGGTCTAGATTCTCCACTCTGGCAAAATTTTCACTAAAGTAACTGGGACCTCTGTTTGTTCAAGAAGAAGCAATACCTGAATGCTTGTGGATTTAATCAGGAGAATCCAAAATGCAACACTCCCCACAACATCTGATGAGATCCTGAATCTTGGCATGCTCTCCAACATGCCAGGTTTTGTTCTGAAGTGGGAGTCGTTTGTAGGTCACGTGCACACACAACCTCTTGCCTGCAGTGGGAGACAGGGCCTCTCTTTTTGGTTTTGTTTGCAGAGGCCAATCCTAATGCTTTTCCGACATGTTTCATTTGTTCTTCCAAAGAGAATAACCGTCGAGGGAATATTAATACTGTTACTGTGAAATCCATCTAGGATCCATCAGAGTTTAGGCAACTGAGGTCAGTCTGAGTTGTCCTCCTGTCCCCATGTTACCTGGAAGTCAGGAGTGAAGGGTGATGGAATAAACTTGTTGAATGTCCTTTGGGTCTTGTAGCAAACTGTATTCTTTAGGTACAGAACAACCTCGATGGCTTTGAGCAACCCGATCTAGTGGAAGATGTCCCTGCCCATGGCAGGAGGGGTTGGAACAGATGATCTTTAAAGGTCTCTTACAACCCAAACAGTTCTATGATTCTATGAAAAGGAGAGGGATTCCTTCTCCCCCCAAATATTTGTTCAGACTTCTTTCCTAGTTTAAAGTAAACCTAATCCAAAGTGGAAAACTCACCTGTCTCATTAGAAACTTGGCTTGGGTTTGGATGTACTTTTTATTTTTAGTTTGGCTCCTTCATTAACAGCACATTCAGCAGACATTCTGCTGATGTCTAAGTGCAGAAACATTTCCATGGCTAAGATTGTCACGGAGTTTCTTCCTCTGTTGATATTTATGGTACAGAGAGAAAATCCTCTTCCTTCCTAGTATTCTGTTGTTGGATGAGGCCTGTTTCTGAGAAAATCTGTTTTCTTTTATAGTACTGCATTGACTTCGGTCTCGTTGCTATGTCTGGAGATGCATGGTGGTATTGCAAATGGCAGTTGGTGTTTCTAAGAGAGTATTTGGCATTAAATGTCTGCTGTCTTGCAGTGCACTTAATTTTTCAAAATTTTCTTTGTGGGTTGAATTGTTGCATGGTTGGCAACTGACTCTTGTGTTTTCACGCTGGCGTAAGCCTGGGTTGAAATTCAGCATGAAGGAGTTGCTAGTCAGGAGCTTTTTAGTTGCTCTAAAAATACAAGGGTAGGAGGCAGGCTGTAAAAATGAAACAGCTTTTGTGGGAGGATCAGCTCTGCTCTGAAGGATCTGGAAGATCTGAAGCAACTTCACTAATAACTCACTGATTTATTTCTGTAATACTTTCCTAAGCAAACTGTTTTTGCAGAGGCATAACTAATATTAATCAGACTATTACTGTGTATTATTCAAAGTACAGGTTTGGATCCAGGATGCCTTGACTTCAGTGTATCTGCCAGTTGTTCTGACAAGGATGCTGACTTTATCTGATGGTGGACCACTGATTTTCCATTTTCCTTTCTGTAAATTGCCTTCCATAGCTATAAAATTTATGACAACTTTAAACTTGAAAGACAAGCTGCTTACATGAGAGTTAGATATTTATTTATTTTTTTTTAATTGCCTCCTCTTCACCCCCTCCAGTAGTCAACAGCCTCAATCAAACAGGGGAAGAAAAGTTTTCAAAATAAAGTGGAATTTGAAAACTTGGCACAAAATTCAGGCCTCACCTGGAATGCTACAGCTGTCCATTGAAATCAGGCAGTTCTAAATGGAGATGAATATTGGAATAATGTTTTTATGAAAATGAAATTATTTCTGTTTGGTTGATCGGGTATAGCAGGATGAAACTACTAGATGTAGTTTATTCTGGAAGTCTGCTGAAATGATTTAATGGATCCTGCTGTCTCTAGAATCTGTGAAATTGACTGTGGACTTCATGTTCTTTCAGAAACATGCTTGCATCCTCTTGACTTACCCCAGCTAGAAGCAAGTCCCTGGCTGTACAAGTATGCTATGGCCACTGTGCAGAAAGAGATGCAGATGTTCTTTCTAACTTAATTTGAAGAGATGGCCTATGGTACGTTTCTTTGTTGGTTAGGTTTGGGTTTTTTTTGGGGGTGGTGGTGGGTGTGTTTTGTTTGTTTTTTTTAAAAAGAAGCCATTCTTAAGTATATTCTGGGGAACAAGATTCCCTCATTTGTTGCCTGTGTTAACAAGGTGTGTGTTCAGAGCCTTTTTGAAGCCTGAGACATGAGATATGCATCAAATACAAGTTTTCTTCCTTGTTCCTGTGCAGTTAGGTGTTCAATAGTAACTACTTGGCTGGTGTAGAGGGTTCTGTATTTGAGAATCAAGAAGCAATCCACAGAAGAGTGAAGAAATAAGTGACCCACAAAGGTAAATAAATGAGAGGTTTTAAAAAATTTGTAGGTAGACTGAGGCAAAAATCCGGACTGTATGTTGTCTGATCTGCAGTTCTGTATGTGTCTGATCTGCAGTTCTGAGCTGGGATTTAGCAACCCATTTCTATTTGGAGAGAGATTTGAGAGCTCTGAGCTCTGTGTGTGTGCATGCACATGAGTGCATGTTTCAGAAAATACATTGCTGAACACTGATTATTTTCTCCTTGTTCTGAACCAAATGGCTATCTTATCTGAAAGAGACTTTTAGCACAGGGATGTTCCAGCTGTCTGCACAGAGAGAGGAAAGAAATATGGATGTTATAAGCTGATTTGTCCCTTGTAATCTTTATTGTCAGTGGGTAGGCACACAGAGACTGCAGCTGGTACTCTGGTGATCTTTACACCTAGATTTGTTTTATTTCTCTTTCCCAGGATGGGTGCTTCATTATTGTGGGAATTGACCATCAGATTGAGTGCTGTAAATTGTCATAGGTACAAAGCTGCTGTGGATTTATAATTGAGGTTTTGGGGGAGAGGCTGTGTGTGGCATATATATATACATACATACATATATATATATATATAAATAAATATTTTATTTGCCTTTTTTAACCATAAGAATGGCAGCTAATCATCTTGTGTTTTGGAGGCAAAACCAAAATCTCAAGGTATTTGTGTCATGTCTCATGAAAATCCATGCCCTTGAAATCCATGTCAGTCTGTGGAAGACTGAGAGAACCAGTAGACAATAAATTGATTCACCAGTACAGAGAAGCTTTCTACATTCTTGTTGATCAGGTCTCCAAGGTTGGTTTGGCTTTGCTGGTCAGTAGGAAGTCTGCCCTTTGGGGAAGGGGCTTTAGCTGCAGCAGAGTTGCATGCTTCTGCAGCTGAAGTGCAATGCCCTGTGACACACATGAGAATCAGTGTTGAAGATACTGTTGTTCACTGCAGGTACTCGAGGTGAATGTTTGGCGCTGTGAAGAGCTGTCACTGTAGGGAGAAAACACAGTGTTAAATAAGAGGATGACCACTGTGCCTACGTTTGACTTGCTGCATCTCTCGTAGTGCCTAGTCCACAAGACTGTAGCAATAGGGGGTTGGGGTTGAGTATTGTTACTTGACAGACTAGGACCAAATTTGCAAACGTTTACATGTACAACTAGTCTAAGCCTCATTCGGAGAGTTTCACTTCATAGTCACAGTCAATAAGTAATCACTTTCACTGATTACTTATGATCATTATTTTAGATGTTGTAATCTTTGTATTCTCACTTGTGAAACTTGGCGAACTTGTCCTGGTTGTGGGTTGGCTAACACAACTTGTCTGAGAACTTGTTGCTGGCTGAACTGTGATTTTGCTAAATGGAAAAACAAGTGGAAAATTTAGGAGAGGTGGCTGTCTTTGGATTAAGGTACCAGGTCTTTGGTCCGTACTGTCTGTGTTCCCAGGGACTTTGCTTATGGCTGGGCCATTTTCTTCAAGTCTGTCATCACACAATTCATTTTTGTTTCACTGCTTTCAGGTTGGTAGATTTTTCTTTTTTTTTTTTTGTATGTGTTGTCAGCCATCTTACATTTTGAGGTATAATCTATATTGCCTGTAGTATAGGCAGGTCTAGGCTGAAGGATACAGTACTAAGTGGCACATGTTACTGTGGGGCAGAAAATGCCTTCAGAGAATCACAGAAATGTGTTCGGTATCATACAGGGGGTCACAGATCCTGGCAGTGAGGAGTAGGCAGAGTGAAATATCAATCATCTCCAGGGGTTTTGCTGAGGAGATACCAGTCTCCCCTCTTTCCATGGGGCTGCTGATAGCTAGATTTCATGAAATGCATGTACTGAAACACTCGTGGTAAGATAATTTTGGACAGTATCAAATTCCGGGCGGTAACAACAGCTGACAGGAATCACCAGGACACTGTAGTTTATTGCCATTCAGAATTTGCCACTGTTTAAAGCTCTTGAATTTTTTTTCTTGGCACTTTACTACTGTGATATTGCTGCCCCATGTGCATTGAGTTCTGCTAAAAGGCTCTGCTTTACCCAATACTACATGCTTCATGGTCTGAAAACCTGCAGTTAATGCTGCTTTGGCTCTTGGCTGGAAGGTGAGAGCTTCAGCTACTGAAAATTGTTGCTCAATTCACACCAAAGGGCAGGTGGACAGTTGCACAGCACGACAACGAAGCATAAAATACA